GAGAGAGAGAGAGAGAGAGAGAGAGAGAGAGAGAGAGAGAGAGAGAGAGAGAGAGAGAGAGAGAGGTGAGAGAGGGAGGAAGAAAGGGAGGGAGGAAGAGAAAAAGGTGGCGATTCTCTCCTATGAATGGATGGATATTTGCTGCAGTTTAAGCAGGAAGTACATGACTTACATGTGCCATGTGGTGATATATTATCATAAAGCAGCTTCATTCAGATATCTGATAATGCTTTTTCATCAGTCATGGTAGGCTCTGCTGTCTTTGGGTTCTCAGACTTCAGGCACTGATAACATATGCTCAGCAGCAAACATCCCACCCAATGTAATTGAGTTCAAATCTCAGTAGTGCTTGATGCTAGATTATTTCGTACACTAGCCATTTTTTGTAGTGTTACGCCGTTACGTTGATATATATCGTTCAACTGTCTCCGGTAATGATGTTGAGGTTCCTGCTGTCCTCACCTGTGGCAGCCACCATGGCAATAGCGAGAAGAGTGTGGACTTTAATCAGGTGTATCAGGCCCTCGACGACTGTAACAGTTCAATTTTGACTCTTTTGACTTATAAGTTATAATATCATGTGTGCGAGTACCATGCAGACTCAACAGGACACACTCAGTCCTCGGCCAAGGAAAGACGAGGTCAGCTGTTGGGCATTCTATGTGGCCGTCATGTCGCAGATATCAGATGGCAGCAGGCTATCAGCAGGTTTCAAACCCAGGAGTTAATCTGGATGCCAATGACAAGTCCAATCTGTGTGCCAATTGAGCAGTTTTTGGAGGCCGCCCGCCGCCTTGCGGGGAGAATAGTTAATCTGGATGCCAGGACTAATCTCCATTCAAGGCTGATGAATAGTTACTAGAATGGAGAAGGACAGGGATAACTATGATGCAGAAGGGGAGGGAGAAGGGTGAGGGAGGGAGTTTGAGGAGGGCCAGGCAGGTAAGAAGGGCAGGAGTAAGAAAGGGACAGTACCAAGCCGTGGGCCGTTTTCGGAGGCCGCCCGACGCCGATTGGATTTATCTACAGCGCTGGGCCTCTGAAAATTTTGCAGGCGAGGAGTTCTTTTTTCAGCAAGGCTGGGGCCGTGTACTGGCGGCTTAAGACTGGTCTTGCAAGCGGTTAGTAGCAAGGGAGTGTTTAGAAGGTGTGAGCTAAAGAGAGGACACTGTCATGCGTAAGGATGCTAATGTGCGCAATAGGCTTGGGAAAGTGGTAGAGGAGAAGGAGAGAGAGAGAGAGAGAGAGAGAGAGAGAGAGAGAGAGAGAGAGAGAGAGAGAGAGAGAGAGAGAGAGAGAGAGAGAGAGAGAG